ACAGATATGGTTCGCCTGCTCTGGTCCACCGACGTGCTCCACCGTCACATGCGTTACGAGTTCGTGCATGGTGCTGTAAGTTTTGGAGCAAAGTTTCCTCGGCGACAGCTCTGGCTCCAGCCACTTGCAAATCAGCTCTTGCTTTATCGGCTGCCTCATGTAGCGGAAAAAGGCTCCGGCTCCGTGGTGGTGGTGGTGGTGAGCGCTGAGATTCATGTTCAGATTCAGACCACCGTAGCCATGCAACGGCGAGGCGGAGAACGGATCAGCCCTGGAGCTTGCCACTTGACTCAAGTGATCAGACCTAACGTACATTTCTCCAGGTAGTCCTAACCTTATTTGTCCATTCAACGCTTGGCCACCCGGGGATCCGCTCGAAGACTGGTCGTGATGGAGTCCGGAGAAGAGGGTATGGTTCCCAGCGTCGGGGTGATGACCATAGTGTCCGGAATAGCTACCTGTTGTTGAGACAAACATTCCGTGGTGAGAGGCTGAACCAGCAGTCTGGTCAGTCAGTACTGGCATGGCTTGAGCTGTCAGATCTCTCCGGATGAGGAAATCCCTACCTGCAGATAAAGCCTGGGCCGTGTGAGACATAGAATAGGGGACCGATGTCGCCTGAACCGGGCCAAAAGCTCCCGTTTGACTGGAGACCACTTCGCTGTGGCCTGCCATATGATGATTGTGGTGGTGGTGATGGTGGTGGGGATAATGATGGGCTGGGCTGATTTTGAGGGCCGCGGAGTGCCCCATGTGTTCTGGCCCGAATGGACTCGGCCCCAGGCGGGGTTCCGCAGTAATCTCCCCAGGGTGCGAGTGAGCCATTGAGTGTGGATGGCTGCTGAACCCCGGGAAGCCTGTCACGCTCTGAGGGGTATGGTGGTGATGATGGTGATGGTGGTGAGCCCCTGCCAAGTCAACTAATCTCAGCGCCGTGTTCCGTTTGGAAAACGTAGGGTCCATCACGGGGCTTCCCAATGCATCCACGCTCATTACTTCCTAATTTTAGAATAACTTGACAGCAGGCAAAATAATAATGATGATGACAAATATATTTTAATCGCAATGAAAAATAAAGAAAAAAAGACTTTTTAAAGTTAGGTCTATCTGCAGACTACATGAAATCCCATTCGGTTGAGAGGCAGCAGCAGGACGCTTTGATACTGAATAGAGATTCATGGTAGGCACTGCAGCCCGTGGAGCCAAACAATCACCCTGCGCTCTAATTGGTCAGAGCTCGGTGATTGACGTCACCAGTGACAGTTTCCAATGCGAAGAAAAATGTCTTAGTGACAGCAAGCAGCCAGCGCGCATGCGCAGTGCCGTAGGCAACGCTTGAAAAAAAATAGTTGTTATGCAAAGGTTATTGTACAATAAAAGTCCTAAAAAGTTGATCCAGATATACAGTATTTCTTTTGTCGCAGTGAACAAAGGCTGCGCGGCTATGAAATAGCAATTTCCCCACTTCGATTCTGCAATTACAAAACAGACTGTCTCGCAAGAGGATGCATATTGCCAGTATAAAAGTTGTTAGGATCATAAATAATGCAGTGATATCTTCATTTTGCCCTGCAACCTATGAAGGACAACTTTACGCACAAATTACGCACACTTTTACGCACGTAAAAGGTCGGCGTCAGCGGTTAACATAACCGACGGAAAACTCCACGTGGGAGTTTAAAATAGTCCGGAGTATATACCATTAATATGCGTTTTGATAAATACCCATATTTAAATATCCAGCCGTTCGCTCTTCAGCGCGTAGGCTACTGCAGCGTCGACTCCGTGCTCTGTTTGATGGGATCCGTGTAAATAGTAAGTGTGAATAGGGCGAACTGCGGCCATTGTCCCGAGGGGAAAAATTGTAATGGCCGGGACTTGTTGTTATGATCCGGGGTAATTTTGCTTTAGACCCAGGGAGGCAGCAGATGAGGGTCACAGGAGGTGGTGCCGTTGCAGCCTTAAGATCAAAATATAACGTGTGTGTGTAAGTATCGGTTACTACAATAATATCTTACTAAGTATAATATTTTGTTATCATGTCTGCTTTTTTTTGAATGCTTAATATAAAGATATTAGTTATGGATCATAACAACATGACGTATAAATTATCTGTTAATATATTTTTTGCCGTGCACTTAGTTTTTTTTAAACCATCAGCCGACTAACAGGACTATTTTCAAAATAAAACGTGTGGTCACTAAAATGTTTGGATGTTACTGTACACAGATTATAGCGGACATACATATAAAATGAATACTTATCACAACTAAGGCATTTAAAATGTATGTATTGTATTGCCATGGTAATATTTTTATAAATAACTTATAATTAACAGTCAAGACTTTAAGTATATATCTTGTGTACTGCAACCAAATAGGGGTGTGTGTGTGTGTGTGTGTGGGGGGGGGGGGGGGAAGGAAGGGCGGGGAGAATAAAAAAAAGAAGGATAAATATTTTTTGTTTTTTT